TAAGGACCCATTGACATTCAAGAAAGCCCAATTACACGAGTTAGAGCTAAAAGATGGGGAAAAAAAGCATTAAATAGGCTAATTGAAGAAATATAAACTTCTCGGATCAAAAATGGGTCCTTCAACATGAACATAGACATAGAGAAGAGGCAAAGCTCGAAGGATCATGTATCCTATAGAGATGCGAAATAAACAAAAAATTTTATTTTCCTTCATCTAAAGTTTTCAAGATCATGTCATTGAATCAACTAATCATATAAGCATAAACAAGATAATAATGAGTAATTAACTCTTGTAGCAAAAAGGAACCATCAAAGTGTTCGGCCTTTACCGAGAATCCACATAGCTTAAACACTCACACAAGAAGCAACGAAATTATGGTGTGCTAGCTCCAACTATTATGTATAATAAAATTTTCTCCCAAGAAATCACTAGGGTTTTACGCTCATTTTTAGAGAGAAAAGATATAATAAATTTTACCTTTTTCTTTTTGGCGAGAGACATACTTTTTACTCTTATAAAATCTAAAATTATGCCTCTCTCTCCCTCTCTCTTTTATATAAGTGGCAACTTTGTCCTTCTAGGACAAAGACTTGTAACTCTTGTGGGTTTATTTAATCTTATCCTTGTAAATCCTAATCCTTATCCTTTAGTACTCAAGATTATCCATCTACTAAAAATATCTTGTAGGATTTTTAATTAATCTATTAGCTCAAACTCTTTTGCCCAATTAATTACGAATTAATTTGTACCATCCAAATAAATTAGGTTAGTTATTTTTAGAAAGACCCACATTAGGAAATAATTTTTTAAATTACCTTTTAACCTAAATTAGGAAACTAATTTTCATTTTAGGTGATCGACTTTCAAATTAGAAAACTAATTTTCGAAATAAGAAACTGATTTCCATATTTGGAAACCGGCTTTAACTTTTTCTAAAACCTTTACTTCTCTTTTATCGTGTGAATGTTTAAACTTATGCATGTGACTCGATAAGCTCCTAGAGATGTTGATAATGTATCAAGAAGATAAAAGACACCTCTTGTATCTTTTTATGCATAAATTAAGATTGGTCTCTAGCAAGGCATCATGACTATCCAATTTTCTATGAGGATTAATTAATCCGTAATTATCTTTCATGAGCATAGTTTTCATATAATTTAGTCATCATATTAATTTATCACGAGTGTGTTCTCAAACTTAGTTTATAGTCTATTCGACTATGATCACATAAGTTTTTTTCAATCTTCAAATGTCTTAGCTCTCATGTAAATTAACTATGCTCTATTGTTATACTTTCACCGTGGTCATAGATTTTTTGAGTAGACATTCATTGAATTGTAATGTCATAACTCTTTTAGCATATAAGGAATGACATGTCGTATCTCAATCATCCACCTATCTCCATTAGATTCCTAATCTACCTAATGAATCGCCCACATGCAGCTCTTTATTAAGCCCATCAAAACGAGTGTCATAGTACATCAATCCTCTAATGAGATAATTGTGATAAATTCAAGTCAAATGATCGATTATACCCATCTCGTATGAGATTTTCATAGACAATACCAAATGGATTCTTATGGCGAGTCAAGTCTATTATTTAACATTATTCACCTAAATGCTTGCTTTGACATCCTCATGTTAATAAGTGTGAGATATCCTATTATTATCTTATAGCGAGTAGCATAGCACTCACAAGTCTTACCACATATTGTCAATGTCTAATCTTGACAATGCTACAACTTGGGACATTTAGTGATATCATTTAAATGCATTAATGTTTGTCTCATATCTCTTGATTAAACATCAATGCAATGCCTATCATATGGACTTCGTCTAATTATAAATAACAAAAATTAATAGAAAGACTTCTTTATTAATATTAAAATGCAATAATACAATACAATAAATCATTCAAAAAATTAGATCTAAGACACATACACTAACAAAGCCTTGTGAACATTGTACAATAATGTGGAGAGGCTAACGAACGAATTTAAGGCTCAAATATATGATTTATGATTGTTGAATTCAAGCATTGATGAACTTTAGGCCGAATTATTAAGCATTGTTGAAATTTAGACCAGAATTATTGAATGTTTTGGACTATTAGTTTTTTATAAGATTATCATTTCAGCTTACAAATAGGCATATCCTTTGTATTCAGGTCAGATTTTTTTTGTTTTTATTTTTAGTTATATTTAAGTGAGATTTTTTTATTTTTTTTCCTCCTTTGGTTCTTTCAAAAATTATCAAAGTTATGCAGAAGTAGAAATCGAAGACTATTGGTAAATAAAAAATAAAAAAAGGGAGGTATTTTAGTGTACTAGCTTTTAAAAACAAATAAAACTGAAACTTTTGAATGGAGAATTAAAATATTTATATTACGTTTTATAGTTATTTATTTTAATTTCTAAATTTAAAATTAATTCTAGAAAAAAAAATCAATTAGGTTGAATATTTTTGAATTTGCAAGTATACAAATCATTTTAAGAGTATTACAAGCAAAATATAGACGAATTATTGGAAAAAGTAATATAAATCAAATTATAAGATCAAAACTGAAATTAGGAGCGCAAAAACAAATTTTCAAATCACTTCTAACCTTTAAGGAGGCTTCATCAAATTATAATTTTGTATGGTCGAAATAACCGTATTATTAGTGGAACTTGAGACAATTATCATGCATGTGTTTTTTGGTACGTTCGACAACCGCCCAACAAATTTAATAACGGCAGCATCAGCATCCCAAAAAGACCTCAACCCCCTTCTTTGAACTGCAGAGGCTTGATTGGGTGCTAATTTAACTTGCAAGAGACGCACAAAATGTGACAATCTCAGGTGCCATCCCTCAGATCATTAATACCACGAATGAGGACGATGCAACAAAGCCTTGCGTGTTATCAATACTTCTAATGGTCTCAAGAGAATCGGATTCGAATTACAATTTGATCCACCCCAGTTTCTTCCTCGCTCTTATCAAGTCGTATAAAGTGCAAACTTATCGGATTCCACATTCATATCTCAAATAAAGATTTAGTTATAGAGTTACAAAGACAGACTGCTGTACATCGACCCTAAACGAATAACCAGAACATAGAACCGTCATTTTCATCAACAGAATGGGTAACAAAACCACACTTTCCCCGCTCCAACAAATTAAAAACAAATAACTTAGTATTATTATGTCCAGCTATAATCTTTTCTCTTCCCTTTTCTATTTTTCAAGCAGTGGGCTTACTTTATTATCGAAGTAACAGACATAAAACTATCCTCTCCCAAGATGAGGTCATTCCAATTTCAAAGCAGATGGCACACAAATGGACATTAAAGGCCATCAGTCACAGAAACCGGGCAATGGCAACAACTAAGGTGAGAAACTTTCTCCAACTCCTGAAAATGGAACACATCTAAAAGACCAAAGCAATTTTAACGCAGGCTTGATCATCATTATTGCAGTACACATCAGCAACAGAGAATCCAGTAGAGCTGAAAGTTAAAACCATAAACAAAATTGATGCACAGTAGATCGACCCCAAGAACATGTGAAAACCCAAAAGCCACAAATCCAACATGAGTATTTCTTGTGTTAAGAGAAGCAGAAATCTCATCAAAATTTCTTTACAGACAATTGAACAAGTAGTCTGCAAACCAACCCATGTTTGATCCTTGCAGTTAGAAAAATGATCAGTCTAATAAGGGAAGCATATAATTGGAACTTAAGTTTAGAAAACAAAATCCAACAAAGAAAAAGAAAGTCACAACCACACCAGATCTGGCCCTTCTATTGAGAGATTATTACATCAAAAAATCACCATTCATATCATTGGCACTTCAAAAAACATCAGTAAGCCTGCAACCAAAGCAGGTATGGCCCTTCCGCGCAATGAAGAATCGTACTAAAAGTTGCCAATCTCTAAATTAATCAACCATTCTCAATAGAGAACTAAACCAACTTGTATGCTAAATAGTCCATTAGTTATCAATTCTTTCAGGACTTCCATGTACAAGGACGTTATTAATGTTGTGCTGCTTTCCTTATCCCTCATCTTTTTTCTCTCTTTTGTTGGTTTAACAGGGTGGTAAAGAAGGTGCAATTGCATTTAGAACGCACAACCAAATTCCTTGACATGCAAGAAATTTTATAACTTTTCACCATATTTTTTGCCCGGCACATATTAAGAAAACCAAAACCCAAAATAAAAACTATGATGCATTTTGCTTAGTGTATGGTATGAAAAAATTTGAGAAATTCTTTCAACCTTTCAACTTCTTAATTTAACAAGTGAATAAAAATAAACAGAAGCATGACAAAAATTAAACAAATTTCAAAATTAACAGAACCACTAACAACATAATGCTTGAGAAGATTCATGCGCCATTATCATGAATTTCCATTAAGTGTCCAATGTACGTTGTAAATGAGAAAGCATGAAAGAAAATTATTGAATAAGTCTAAAGCATAATTAGCATAGTTAAGAGGGAATACGGTCTCCAAAAGAGCACTATTCTAGACAAAGACTCAGGCATTTAGAAGACAATTGTGGAGAATTACAACTATCCACAAAACTGACCTCCTCAACACCATAATGTGTTACTGGACTTCTGGCAAAAATGCATGATAAATCCTGGTGAAACTTCAACCAATTTACAGAATAAATAGGAAAAAAAATAAAAAAGAAGAATAATCGAGGCATTTGGAAGACAATTACAGAGAATCACAACTATCCACAAAACTGACCTCCTCAGCACCACAACATGTTGCTGGACTTTTGGGAAAAAAATTCTTGACAAATCCTGGTGAAACTTCAACCAATTTGTACAGAATATATAGGGAAAAAATAAAAAATGACAAGTGATATCATTCTACAAATACTGGATATTCAAGCTTTGCACCCTGGCATTCATTTACCACCTCTTTCCCAAACAATCCTTATTTCATGAATAGAAATCAATTACCAAAGTGTTCAGAGCAAGAACACGACTAAACTTTTCAACTATGTGTAAACATCATTGCTAAACCAGCCTGCACATCTGTTCTCCCCATTTACTGGAAAAAATGATGGGGAACCCCAATCTCTCTAGACATTCAATATACAAGACCAGATCATATTTCTCAAGAATGACATCAATGGCCTACATTAAAAGATCTAACAGCCTCCGTTTTATTTAAGGAGGCAATCTAGCATCCAACCTCCTACATTCCCAGTGTGGTCTATGGCGCGTAAGGACCAGTATATAGCTTAGATCAAAATCAATCAAAGAAGTACACGGGATATGGAGAAATTGGCCAAGAAGAGAGAAAAATCAATTAATCAATTATCATAGTGAAAGACATTGTACCCTGTCAGGAAGATTCCTAGGCATGGGTAGTGCAGTGACATATCTCTGAAGACAGGATTTCTGACCATTTACAGATGCATCTGAGGATGATGAGCTCTCAGCCCCATCACCTTGACCCCGTCCATGGAACTTTGCAAAACGATTGATAACAGAAAACCTCTCCAGATCTTGGCATTCCACTCTCAGGTCTGAAACTGATGATCTTTTGTCCAATCTGAATCATTGGGGAGCAAATAATAAAAATAATGAGTACATCTCTGTACCAAATATGTTTTATCATTAGAAATTTCAGCTAAGGGGGATGCCAAAGAAGAAAAAAAGAAACAGAGAGGTGAAACAAACTGCAATCATGCCGGCATAAAACCCAACATTAAGAAAGCTAAATCTACATCTGCACGATCAAGTTCAAGCATACTCAATTTTTCTCATTCTAATGACCAATATGAGCTCTGAAACTTTTTCAAGATGCGACAATGTAGACTGAGTGAGCAAAACCTCTTTCAATTTTGTTCAAATTACACATGATTCCTATGTCATTCTTCTCAATAAAAACTCAAAGCATCTTACCTCTAAAGAAATATAAAAATACTAGGACTCTTAACAATTCATGAAACATCAAAAATGTTTGAATCAGATAAGTAGACATACAGAGGAAGGGTATGTTAACATATCAGACACCAATATTACAAGGCAGAACAGAATTCAAAGGCAGGCAGAAAAGAGATTAGGTTAGCAAGAAAATCAAATGTTACCACTAAAGATATCAAAGTTTACCTCAAAAAATCACTCTCCAGCTTCCTTGTTCTACTGATAAGGTCTTCCATGACTTTTGAGAAGTATTGATCGCTAACCTTCTCAGATGATTTTATCTTCTTGGGCAAGCTTAGGACAGAAAAAATTTTCTTGTTATCATACAGATCCAAGAATATTTCCCACCAAAAACTATCAATCTTACTACCAGTGAAAAGCATACTGAGAAAACAAAAGGGTCAGTGCATACTTATGGACCACCAAAGTGAGGTCCTTAAGGAAGAATTTAGAGACAGCCCTATGCTGCAGTATTCTTTTCATAAAATGGCTGCTCTTAAGACTGAAGCTGCACCCTTATGGTTGCAAGCCCAAGACATTTACCTTTATACCAATAATAGCCCCTAAAAGCATGCTAGAAAAACCTTGGATGATATAGAAGCAATTCTTACAGGTCTCCACCGTTGGAAGGCACAGGAGTATCACTTCCAGTACAAGAGAGTGTGCTGCATGCATCTCCTAGTGTTGATCTGGCAATGAAGTACGCAGCATTCTCATTTGCAGAGAGAATTGATCCCAGGGGAGGGCGGAGGAGCATCTGCATAAGCTGTGTAGTCAATATAAGCCTCCTCTTTGATCTAAGGACTGGAAGACCATCGTCTACCATTTCAACTTCATCTTCCACCTGTTATCGGAAACGAAGCCATTTAAACATGAGGCAACTGTAAGACAACTACAAGGGAAAAAAAAAGAAGATAAAGGATGAATATAGCTTGTAAAGCTGCTTTAGCTATTGAGCAAACCTTTTCTGTCAATCTATTTGTTGCCTGTGCCCAGTCCACTTCAGCAGTGCTGCATACAACAAAGTCCACATATGTTATAATCACCAGGAAAAACAAAGATAAAGTGAATCAAACAAACCCAGAAAATAAAATCAAAGGAACATAGCAATAAACTTCTGCAGAGAAAAAAGAAGTATAAATAAAACGATGCATCAGTTTGAGTTTCATCAAAAAAGAAGATAATGCACTCAATAAATGCATAGTTTATGCCAATCACCTGATATTCTGAAGCCTTCGAGGACCATGTATCACTTCATTATGCCACATTACAAGCTCGGATATGGCACTTTTACGTTTCTTTGGTCTCGTAACCACCAGACTCACATCAGCAGAATCAGGCTGCAGTGACTGGGGGAAGAAAAATTCTCACTAGCTATTGATGCGTGAGTTGAACTCTTTTGGACTGTACCAAATTGGCTAGCAGCAGCAGCAGCATTTCCTTGCTCAATTGAACTATGAACATGCAATGGATCATCAGGCATTCCAGCGGTGAAAGGCAGTTCTGAAGTCTTCATGGTGACAGTTCTTCGTGCATCATGCATTTGTAATATCTGTCCATTTTTAAAGTTTCCATACTGACCAAACCAGGATGGAGCCATCTGGGGACTAATCTGGGAATGCTCACCTCTGACAGAAACTGCATCATTGCTATTAGTGAAACTCTGAGAATCATTCCGACCAAATGCAAGCATTTCCTTTGAAGTTGCATTTGTATCCCGAATATCAGCTGTTTTTCCTGAAAAGCTTAGCATCTTGGAATCTCCTGGAGGTATTGAAGTGCGATTTGCTGATGCATCTCTGACCATATTATTGAGTCCATAAAACTGCTGACCTCCCTGAGTAGCTATCAGCTGAGGATCCACGGAACCATCAGGACTTTTAAATCTCTTCAAACTCCTATTACCATGATCAACCTCTGCATTTTTCATGCCCTGCATTTGATGCAGTAGGGAGTAATTTTGATGCAAAGTATTATTGGGTTTTAAAGATCTGCCAAAAGCTTCAATTTGTTTCTGAGTACTGGCTAGGTTTGAAAGAGACGTTTCAGTAAGATGATTCACAACAGAGTCTTTCTCATGTGAAGCACTCGTCTTCTGGGCCTGCTCATTCTCAGGTGAAACTTGCTGCAAGTGGTCTCCTTTTGCCAGTTGCTCTTTCCCAATAAGACCATGTGAATTCATTGAACAGACACTAGACTCAGCTTGACTACTCCCTCCAGTTTGCATATCTTCTGGCTTCTGTGGTTTGGAGAAAGCTGTGCCTGAACTGTTATGTGATTGAAGATTGGGTTTAAACATACTGGACGGAGCCTGAAACGGAGCACCAAATGGACGTAGCTGAGTTGGAACACTGGTCCACATAGTAGGTGACATTCTTGAAGAAACAGCATCTTGTAATGAAGGATTGTGCTGAGGAGCTGGAGCTGGTGCAGCTTCTAGCACTGGGAATTGTTGAGCAGAATCTCTTGCATGGTTTTGGTTGTTGCCACTCGGATGGGACATTACAGAAGAAGACCCGTTATCATTATGTGAATTATGCCTTGACATGTCAAGCACCGATGGTAATGCAGATTGATTAGTTTGACCTCTCTCAGAAGACTCCTCTGTCTGTTTTGGTTGGGAAGAAAATTGATCGAAAGATTCATTAACAGATGCACTGGTTGTTGCTTGTCCACCTGTATCAGTCATTTGCTCATGGGAAAGATGACTTCTTGAATAAGGGAAACCAGCAGAAAAGACAGCAGAAAACTTTCTTTGGGCACTATTGCCAGCATGCATTGAGGTGCTGCAAATAGCATTCCTCAAATGTCCATGAGACGTTTCATGTGGAGTTAAAGACTGAAGAGAGGATGTAGGAGCCAACCACGTAGAATTAATCACATTTGAGGGGCTCTGAGAATGAAGGACGTGCTCTGGAATGAGCAACCGTTGGGACGGAGGAGCCAGTTGCAAGCCAAAAGCTTGAGAAGCAGAAGATTGATTCTTCTGAACATGAAAAGATGCATCAGAAGTTTTACCTTCAGGAATCTCAGAAGATTGGTTGTGGTTGACAGAACTAAAGTGCCTTTCGTTTCCCTGTTCCCTTGATTGGTCCACCTTGTGAAGAAGCTCCAGCATATTTTGACTGCTATAAATTTGAACACAAACCATATAACGGTCATGTCAATGATAAAAAATGACTTGACGACACATTTGATTGTTAGCATGGAAAGGACACCATACAATTGAACAGTGAATTAACTGAAGTAGTACAAATGCTCAATAAAATTCAAAATAACTATAAAGGACAATAACAAAATCCCAAACACTCAACTACCTTGATGTGGTTTTATTTGGTGAGCGAACAGATCTGTCAAAGGGAATAGACAAGCTAGGTGCAGAACCTGGAAGAATGCTTTTTGGAGGAATCTCATTTAAGCCTTTTGTTTCTCCTTGAAAACCAGAAAAATGACCCTGTAAATAAGCATTAAAAGATAAACTATTAAAATTTTTGATTCCATGGATACGTCGCACTTAGCACGACCAAGAAAATTTTCTAAAAGTACAGGGGATATCTGGAATGAAGCTCAAGTAGCAATCTCCAAATTACCTTCTCAATTTCAACAGAATCTCTAGCAACAGGACTAGGAAAGTTCGGCTGCCCAATATACCCTTGGTCAAGACCTTTTAACCCTTGAGACAACTGCTGAGGCATGGAGTGGGAATCTGCAACGTGTTTTGTTCCATAAGAAGGTTCCATGCCAACATCCAGATCCCCCATAGGATGATACTGAAATTTACGAACACCAGATGGCTTTCGACCTACATGACTGGATGACTTTTGTTTTCCTCCAGACAAAGAACTAGAATCATTTGCACCTAACCATGCATTTTCCCTCACACCAAAAGTGGAAGCATGGTGGGTTATATTGTGGAAGTTATCAGTTGTGTTTTCTTTTGCATTTGAGTTCTGCATTTCGTGAGTTTCAACTGCCCCGTCTGATGACTCGAAAGTTTGATCATTCTTGACCATATGAGGTTGGTATGTTCTTTGAATCTCAGCTCCATTGTGGTTCCCTGACAAACCAGCATGTTTCCAGATATCTATATTGTTACTTTTAGGAAGTTGTTGGCTGTTGTCTGTGTTGGCCCTCTCAGAACTTGAATCTGGCAATGCAGCAACATTATTCCAGTAAGTATCTTCTTGGTTGACCAGCGGGCTTCTCATGGAAGATTTTGCATGTTCCAATTCAGCAATTGAATTAGAAACAGAAGTAGTCTTCCATATATCAGCACCATGACCCATCACCTCAAACATGGGACTATTTTTATCAGCATTCTGAGAATCTTGGAATGATTTTTCATTTCTCTGGTTTTTCAAAGCAGCAGCTGTGATGGGAGAAGCAGAATCCATAAAGTTCCAGCCACTTGGACTACTTAATGGTTGGCCACTGGAACTATATGATGGCATGCTCTGTTGATTTGCCCAAGGGCCTGGAATGCTCTTTGCATTTGATTCTGCATCTGAAGAATGGGCAGCTTTTCCATAAAAATGACTGCCTTCAGCAGCTGCTTTTTTTAAGAGGCTCCTGTCTGACCGCTTTGTTCCATCACCCGGAAACTGTTGAATATGTCTATGAGAACCAGTTTGCAACCTCTCACTGTGTTCATGTGAAATATTGACTCCAGATTGATGAAACCCTGGGATGTTATTATAACTCGTACCTGTATTGGTTTCATGAGACACAGGGAAGGGTCGAGAGTTCAAGCTAGAGGCAGACTGCAAGCTATTATCAGCCCAATTCGACTGCTGTTTGCTACTATCATTTACAGTGGGAGTCTGATGATTCCCGGCTGGAGGTTCACTATTTCGGTAAGACAGACCACTCCACTCTTCTTGTAGCCCTGTATCACCACTTGAAGTTTCTGCTACTGCAGATTGCATAAGAGCACTCCAACTCCCACTTTGCACAGAGGGCAATGTACTGAAAAAGTCTGTGCCATCCATCATATTGTAACCCCCGGAACCCATGCTGGCACCCCTGCCAAAGGCATCCCATAAATTATCATCTGACCCAAACAAAATCTTTGCCTCAGTTGGATCTAGGGTAGCCGCATTCTGCGAAGGAGTAACCTGTATGGCTGTTTCCTCTTGAGACGTTTCTGATGGACCAGCCAGGTCTTGCATCCGGGAAATTTCTTGCACTGGCCCATTGCTTTGCTGGGAATTCACTTGCTGCAAGCTTTCCGAATTAAATCCACTGTTCATACCATGACCATCAGAAGAAGCAATTGTATTTTTCCCCTGATACCCCTGTCTAGAAACCAAAGTTCCATCCTGCACACTAGCCTGCTCTGGAAATCCAGTATACTGATTGTTTGGTAAGGAGTTACTGCTGCCTGATATCTGCTGCATTGAGGGCTTATCCATTTGGACTGGAGAATACTGACTTGAAGCGACTCTTGTTCCAGAGATAGGGACACCATAGAGAGATTGATCAGCCTGCTGTGGAACCATACCCATTAAGCGTGGTGTTGCCTGTCCCTGTTCAGGGGAAAACATATGTCCTCTAAAGGATCCTTGCATAACTGGAGGCACACCTCGCTGCGGCCAGTGTGTGCTAGCTGCCATAAGCTCAGGGTGCCACGAAAAATTCGATGTTTCATGAATAGGAATGCCATTGATCAAAGCCTGTGAGTTGCCAGCTGCCTGTTTTGAAAAAGCAGAAACCTGATTCATTGAATTCAGCTTCCTTGCATCTTGTTGCTTCTGAAGTTGTTGCTGCTGCCTCTGCATGTCTTGCACCTGCTTAAGCATGAATTGTTGCTGTAGCAGCTGCATGTCATTAATCCCTGACTGCTGCCTAGGCAAAGGTGGCAGCATGCCAGGATGCTGGCCGCTAATTTGCTGCTGACCTCCAAAAAAATCATAATTAACTGGAGATTCATTAAAATCCATTCTGACTGAATTCTTCTTCAGAAATTCAGGACCATTTCCTAGCTGTGAATCAACCATTGAAAAGCCTTTTGATGGTATATTACGGCGATCAGATTCTGTATCCACACCCAAAAAGTTTGCTTCATTCTGCCTTGTCTGGAGAACTTGATGACCATGCATATAGCCATTCAATGGTGCCTGTTGGCTTTCAGACTGGCTTGTGGCAAACTCAGGCCCAGGATTTGAATGTGAAAAGTTCATACCAAGCTGCACACTTGATGATTCACCTCCTCTCTCAGTATCAGCTAATTTCAAAAGAAAATGAGTAATAAATGACATAAAAGCCTACAAACTTTACCACACACAATAACTTCAAACCATAATATCCATAATCTGGGGTTATAAGTGGGAGAAACCAAGTCTGCTTAAATACAACATAACTCTACTGGAAACAATACAGGTCAGTGAAAACCAACAAACTAGGATGTGCATAATTAATACCTGGTTGATGAACATTGTTATTTTTTAAGTTAGAAACAAGAGGAGTGCCAATCTGCCTGTGACTTCCAGCCCAGGGATTACTGTTTAGGCCATTCCATGTCCCGTCAACAGCCTGTGATTGGTGCTGGCCCTGGGACCAGTTATCCTGCCCAAAGAAATTGTGGATCCTATCTCCAACTTCGTTGCCAGGCATAGATAATCCACCCCACCAGATATTCAGCAGCTTCAATTTTGTCAGAAGAAAATCGCTACCTAAAAGGAAATCAAGTTTAAAATCTCTAAATTCCGACAATTCAATTAAACAGAACCTTACTGCATTAAAAACTTTACAAGTGCAAGCATGTTCACACCTCTTCTCTCTGCTCATCAGGTGTCACTCAAATAGCCACGTTCCAGTCACTCAAATCTCATTCTGCATACAATCAAGATCTAGACCATCACAATGAAGTAATGGAAATATGTGTGGATAAGATTTGTGAGTGTGTGCGCGTGTGCATAAACATAATTGTACTAGTGCATGCAGTTGACCAATTGACTTATGCAGAATGAGTTGATGACCTAGTAACTTTGAAGGTGAATAGATGTACCATACAAATAAAGTTAGCCCTCTAACAAGTACAGTTTTAACCTAATAACCACCTTTTACAAATAAATTAAATTAACAATGACCTCTTGCAGTTAAACAATATACATATTAAATAGTAAATTTAATAATCTATTGTAGTTAATCGTTGCTTATCTATACACGAGTAATCAAGAGAACAGTTAATAATATTTTCTCTGAAGTTCAACACTATTGCCAACAACGATAAATCCAAAAAACCACCATCTTTACTGGAATTTACCCTGCTTTCATTTAGCAAGTAGGAGGTGCACCACTCAGCTAAACAAGGAGGTGCACAACACTGATTCCTAGAATTAGAATATACCTATATGTCTATATGAAAATTATTACTAATGATAAACGGAAGGTATGAACGAACACAGCAACGTCAGTCATATAGGGTGAAAAGGAACAGAAGGACATTTCTTGTTGTTTCATGTAAATACAAATTTATGTCTTTTCTAGATAATTAGTTATGAAGCCTAAATTTTTCCTCCGTTAGTAAATATTATGATGGTAGTTGAGAATGCAAAAAACAAACCTAACCATCATGAAAAACCAAATGTAATAAAGATCTAGTAAGTAATGACCAGCCATTGAACCATAATATTAAATATCTCCAGTTATTAGAGTCTAAATGACCTACATTGGATGCTCATGCAATATCACTAAGCTTGAGAGGGAAAGAAAGAGATTGATTCTACGAGTCAAACAGCCTTTCTGAGAAACATAAATCCATCTCAATCAAGAACCTAAGCAATTCAAGAATACCATGTAGACTTAATATTAAACACAACTGCATCCCTTTCTACCTATATGCAGTTACTCAAAATGAAAAATTAATCAACTGAGAAAGTAACAGCAGTTCAGAATAGAACCTCACAGACACCCAAATCCAATCAGAAGTCTCAGCAGAAGAAAGGTTTTCAGCCACTTCACCCTTTCCCAAAACCTGTATGACTTCAATATCCCCTTAGTAAAAAACTAAGTAAAAGTCCCAGACATTGTCAACTAACCTAACTTCAAAAAGTCACAGCTAGCTTAAAGGAAACTCTATAAATTTCTAAGGAAATAGGAGACCTACAGAAGATATTCTTCAGCAACAAGAAGCTTAAATTCAAATTGCAAAAACTTAAGAGATAAACCTCTTCTTTCTATTGGTTCATACAAGGAGATGCTTAAATTTGAATTGAATATGAAATTAATAGGTGAACCTCTTTTATTCGTTGATTCATAAGAGGTGAACCAGCTATAGGGAAAAGGACCTCTTCAAACAAAAACAAAAGCCCTATAAAGTAGAAACCTCCCAAATTCCACTCCCATGTTAACTTCATTGACATAGATGTCCTCCCCCCCCCTCCTCCAGAATGCAGCTGTTTAGGTGATGGAATCAGGTGGAAAAGAAAGCTTTCCAAGCATTAAATTGTAAAAGAAGGAGCTAAAACAAAGAGCTCTTTGAAGTTGGATTAGATGATTTTCTTGTTTGTCAACCTTGAACTGGAAAACTTAAAGAAACGAAGGAAAAAAAAAAAAGGGAGATAAGCAAGGCGTTGCCTGCGGTTCTCCAAATTGATTTCTGACTTTCTCATAAATCAACCTCTTTTAATTCACTTTCCAAAACATTTAAGCTTCCAATCAATAGTTACAAACGGAGAAAACACTTGATAGGAGGGAGCATGGAGCAGAGAAGCATTATATCCAATTATTTGGAGAAAACACTTGGGCGTCCAATTTAAGAAGCTCAAAATACCCTAACCAATCTTTTTCCAATGGCTTTGACGTTTATTTATACACAAGTAAATTTCTGCATCAGTGTTAGAAATTAAAATAGCATCATAAGATACACAAATTCAGATCTTAATAAGCCAATTAAGATTGAAAATCCATCTCTCGCTCACTGGAAGACAAATGCTTACCAAACATTCAAAGCCCAAAGACAAAACAAACAAAAGAAAACATAAACCAGCAGAAACGAAACACAAAAACCTTTCCCTCTCTTTCTATCGACAACCAAACAAATCTCGAAACCCCAAATTTAACTAAAATCTCACATTTATTGCCAAATAACAAAAGATCGAGAAAAAAACAACAAAACTTAGAGCTTGGATAATCTCTTTTTAACACAAAACAAAGAAACAAGCAGCATATAGCTGCCCATCCGTAAAACACCAAAACCTAAGCTCATATACGGACTATGAGTTTAAAAGAGAGAAAATTAGGGTTTCTAGAGAGAGAATTAGGACTCACACTTTCACGTTGACGCCTCAATTTTAGCTCCAAATCTATCCTCTCAAGGCTCGAAAAATTCTTAATCTAGGGTTTTGAATCGAAAGAGAGACAGAGAGAGGGAGAAGGTGTAGGAATGAGAGCTCAGAGAAGGAGAGGGAGAGAGAGATAAAGTGATCGAAATAGTGAGCGAAATTTTCAACGAACAGAGGAACAAAACTGAGGTTCGGGTCCGAGGCGAGGTTAGGTCTGGAGTCCGATGCTGAGGGCTAAGTTAAATGAAAGCGTTTTCTGAGAGAGTGAAGAAGTGAGCATGTGGAAGTAGTTGAGGGTAGAGGGGGGATTAGGTGTTTCTGCTATTAAAATCTGCCACGTGGAAAACGTATTAAGTGGAACCCACTTTTTCTGCTTCGGATATGCCATTTCGGTTTGATGGACTTTATGATTCATTGATCTTAATGGAAGAGTTGGGTACGATAGGATTGGTTGTATTTGAACTTTGTTTTCTTTTCATTCCTTGGGGATTTGGTAGACCATAAGAGGGAAGGAAATTTTGAATTCCGGTATGAAATAGAAAAACGATGGTGAAATATAGACAGCAATGGTCGGGTTGGGGTTGGGTTTTACTCCACCCGCATTTGGCATGAAATATAAAGATCCACGTATATTACTTTTTTCGATCTCTGACCTTCGTCAGGCTGAGGTAGGTGAAGGAGATCCATCCTATATTAATTTGAAATACAAGCATGATATATAAGTAGGGAAGAAAACATGCAAAGTATATTTTAATGAGTTCAGTAATTAATAAGAAAATGCAATCTTAATTTTCTTACGTGTAATATAGCATAATATAAGCTAAACGTTTCATATCATAACATTACATTCATAGAGACAAACAGAGATAGAGAGGAAGTCATTCCGACGTCCTCTTTTCTTTAAGGCTTTGAGAGTTTTTTCTTTTTTTTTTTTTTTTTTTTTGGTCATCTTTGGCGAGAGGTGGCAACATTTTTTTTCTTTTTTCAATATTTTCTTTTAGTAATTTTAGATCCAGACTCTATGGATTTAGATATGATGTTTTTGTTTTGTAATCTCTAGTTTATCGAGGTTCTTTTACACTTATGGAATCTTTTTGGAGAGATTATGGCTTCTTTTTTTTTTTTTTTTTGCTCTATGAAATTTCTTATGAAAGTTCATTCGGTGGATCTTGATATATTATAACTGATTTGATAAACGACATTGTTTAACAAGACAAAAGAAAAGTATCCGAGGAAGCAAAACTACTAATCACATTTGATAGTAAATTGATGGCTCTTTTCTTTTGTACAATTAAAGCAATCATGCTTTTGTATGCTCGAATGTTTTTTTTTTCCTTTGAATGTAATCCTCGTGTATTTGTTTTTAGTATACATTTGAGACTATAAAAAACACTTCACATTTAGCTTTCATCAATGAAATTTTTTATATAGATGGACACACTAAAGTTTTTTACCAAATTATGATATTTTTAAATCTTTATTCTTTAAATATGATAGTTTTGAACTTAATTCTCAAACTAGATAATTTTTTTTCCACATAAGATATTTCTATCCACATCATTTTTTTCTTTATTATAATTAATTTGTCTTGTTCTCCAATATTAAGCATAATTTGCCCCTCTTCCTTAGCGAGGGCAACTTTAACCGAAGCAACGACAATAGCACCTTTGCCCCCATTTCTCACACTCGCTATTTTTGGAGTTTCAATGATTGCTCCTTAGAGATCTCTCTCGTTGCTTTCTTGTATAGTAGTGGAGTACATCATTTTTTTCGGAGAAGACCATTATCCGAGATTTAATTAAAAGCTACCTCTGCAATCATGGCATCGCCTCTATAAACTTTGCAAAACTAAGAGGAGTAACGACCAACAACTCGAAAGTTGTTGATATCTTTGTTGATGTTGTTAGCTAAGAAGATATCAAGCCTTGTTTTCGTCTAAAGTGCATGAGATCGACATCCGGAAACAAAATTCTTGAATTTTACTATATTTTTGTCTCGATTTCTTTCTTGTGTAAGTGAACATGTTGCATGCGGGCCTAAGACACTAGACAACATTGAGAGATAGACAAATAATTTTTTTCCCTTTTTCTTTTTTTCGGATAGTAAAAGACATGTCCATAAGGGAGAAAAGGTAGAAAAGAAGTTACATCGGACCATAAAATGGTTCCCCGGAATTGTCTTTTTTTTTCTTTGGAATTCCTCATTGCTTTGTATTGAAAAAACTCAACATACTCGGATTACCTAAATTTATTCGGATCATGATGATAATGGACCACAAAATGTGCTCGAGGCTTCTTTATAATGTGTTCTTTGTGCTTCTTATATTACACAAGAAACCTAATGCTCCCGGATTCATTAAATGAGTTGATGGGGGTAAAAGTTCGATGCATAGAGAGTGAGAGAAAAGCACTCCTCCAATTCAAACAAAAAGTTATAGATGAAGATGGTGTTCTTTCTTCCTTGGGGAGTAGTGATTGTTGCTTGTAGAGAGGAGTTGGTTACGAGCAATCGCACTGGCCATGTTACTCTTCGATCTTCATATTGGAGAAGATGATCACTCCCATCCGAGAGGTAACTAAGCGAGTTCATTAATTGAGTTGCAGCATTTGAATTACTTGGATCTTAGCAATAGTTACTTCCGGTCTCCCAAATTTCATTGGATCCCTAAGAAAATTAAAATACCTTAATCTTTCCGAGTAATGGATTTTTTGGAACTCTTTCATATGAGCTTGGGAACCTCTCAAAATTACAAACACTTGATCTTAGCTCTAATGGTTATTTTGAAAGCCTTCTTTGGTTATCCCATTTTCCTTATTTAGAACATTTGGACCTTAATGGCAATATGCTTATCAATGTTAATGACTAGGTTCGAGGGCTTAACAATCCGCCTCTCCTAAAATCTTTATACCTAAGGGGTGCGATCTTTCGGTTATAGTTCCTTAGTCGTTTTCATTTACCAATAGTTCTAAATATCTTACGGACCTTGATTTTTTATAATAATCTTTGTTCCTTAATATACCCTTGGTTAGATAATTTCAATCATAGCCTTGTTGATCTTGACCTTTTCGGGTGTAAATTTGAAGGACCAACACCATATGCATTTAGCAACATGGTCTTTCTCAAACATCTTGATCTTTCCTTTAACTATTCACAAAGCATTCCAAGAGTTTTCGAAAATAAGTGCCATTTACAAACACTAGATCCGTGTCAAAACAATATCAATGAAGTGTTTTATAAGTCTATTCAAAAATTGTGTGGATGCACTCGTGAACTCACTAGAGGTATTGGATTTATACGGTAATCAACTTAGTGGTTAATTGCACGATATTACAAGATTCTCTTCTTTAAAAGAATTGGACCTCTCTTATAACCAACTCGAATGGTTCTTTGTCGAAAGCTTTAAATGGCATTCTAAACTCGTTTTTTCGAGTTTAGAAGGGAACAAATTGGCGGGATCAATACCGATTTGACAATGTAGCCATCTTTAAAAGAAATCAAGATTGGAAACAATAATTTCACCGTAAAAATAGAAGAAGAGAAGTGGAGGATAAATGTGAGTTTTAGTCTTACTTGAAAAACTTGAAGTGAGATGTGAAAAAATAGAGTCATGCCATTTGATGAAATGTATGTCCGCGTGTCAATAAATACCTATTTTGATAAATAAGTCTAAAAGTATCCTATTTTAGGAATAAAGATTTAAAAACACCCTATTTGGAAAGAAAACTCGGACATACTAATATAAATATCTCTCTTTTTCTAGGAGATAGAATATTTTTTAATACTTATAACTCAATTCATAAGGAGACGAAAACCGCCTCACAATAAAAAAAGATTACAAATTCTCCTAAAAACCCGAAGAGAATAAATGCAAATAGTATGGATTAACACATAAATCTTACAACAGTAATATTTATCCAAATTATTAAATATAACGTGGTAGTACTAAATTTAAATTGGACTATAAGTTTTAACATTTATATTGGTCGTGAAAACCATAAAGGTCAAAATCAACTTTAAACATTTAAGTTCCCATAAAATAGTAAACGTAAAAGATACATTAATAATCTATTAATAAATCCCAAAGGCTTGTGCCAAATGACCTATATAAGTTTATATAGAGCAATAAATCACGAGAGATTTATATATGTCACAAGGTGACCTCTTGCAATCATAAGAGTAAATGTGTTCAAAAGTAGAGTTGTCACTCAATCTTTCTAAAAATGCAAACTAAGGGGAAAAAAAAAACCTAGCATATTAGTATAAGAGTTCTAGCTAAAAAAGTTGATAACAAAACTAGAGAAAACTACGATTACCCTAATGTACTCTCATAACGAAATCATCCTAAAGCTCAATCATGTGTCCACTTTTTTATCATGATTTATAAATAGATTTTCAAGCCTTTCAAACCAATCCTCGATAAAGTGATTTGAACATTGAAAAAGATCCGTTTCTCACTTAAGTTATTATTGGATCGTTAGAGCTCATATGGAAAAGTATAAGTCAATACTTAAAGCCCATTGTAAATTAAACAACCAAAACCCCATAAAAATAAATAAAACATAAAATTCAATAAACTTGAATCAATAGGCTCAAGTTCACTTACCCAACCATGTAATAAAATTACGGGTCTAAGATAAAATAATCTAAAAAATATAAACATAGGCCTCGAGCCCTATCGTAGGGGTGCTTACGTCGGGGGACGCCATAACATCAATTCGGGAGAGTTGAATTCAAAGAAAATTGAGTCATCACCTAGTGTTGTCGTCACTAAAAAACTATCATGACCCGGGAGTGGTCTAGGATCGATGTGAGAATCGAGAAAATCGTGAGGGGTACCTCGACTCAAGCAAGTCTCAAATACTTATACTACAATTATCAAACTAATATCGCCTCAAATATCATTTTGTTTACAATATTTTTAATTAGTATTCATCACGTTATAATTCTAACACAAATCATAATTTAATGCTTTTCTTATGTTTCTCAAATCAATATCCATAATCAATTTATAATGTAACACTCACAAGCTATAAGCTACGAGCTTCAAGAATACAACAAAATCAAATATAAATTATAAGAGATTATAAGTAAATAAGTTACATGATTAATGTTCCAACTTCAAAACAAGCGACCAAAAAGGCACACTCACGAGATCTTGCAAAACTGAAATAGTGAGGGTGAGCAATCAACAATTCAATGGATAGATACTATATAACACATCTAATAAAGGAAAATGAACTAAGGATAATAACTTAAAATATCAACTTAGTATGCGATGCTAGTTTCTTCAAAACCAATGTATATCGTAAAACCAAATCGCACATCATAACTTAAATGGTTCAAAACCATTTTATATCGAATCATCGAAACACATACATACACACACATCATAATTGAAGCAAACCATATATCTAGGTTTTTATTTACTCGTGGGGTGAATATAACGTATCATTGGATGGGAACATCCAAAAGTCACGCTTCCCGTGACTAGATTTTCACATGTTGATTGACACGTGGACTGGCACTCTATCTTTTCTGCTAGATGAAGCCTTGTATCGTTGAGCTTAAGGCTACACCTTCCATAGCTAGGTTTCTAGGGTCTCGAAAACATTTCGAAAATCGTATATACTTATGCATATTATAAAACCGAGTATTTCAAACACAATGCATGCTCAAAATCAAATTGATAGCGTATTCTCATACCAAATAAACATTTACAAAATTATACGGATAATCAAAATAATCATCTAAAATAAAATAGCATTTAAATCTATAATCATATATCAAATATGTACTCAAATCTCTTTCAAAATCACATCAAATCATATTCGATATGAAATTATTTCAAATGCTTATGGAGTACTGTTCTCGTCTAAGTTCAAATGGATCCATTTAAATTGTACTTAAACCAATAATGCGTGGTAGAATTATTAAAGAAATTTAAAAACAACATGTTATATAATATCCACTCGAATACAAATGAAGAATCGGACATAGTTAAGGATATAGTGAAGAAGTCGCGTTTAGGAAGTATATGGTTGATGTTAGAGGGGCATTTGACAATGAAACATATGATTGATGTTGCATGCCGATGACATAAAAATTGGTATCATGCTAAATGAGAAGATATGTCATCTCTTAACAAGGGGTTATCAAGAAAATGGATACTTGAAGTCGGATCTCAACTGTTCCAAGATCTGATTAGGGGTTTCGAATCAACATCATTGTACTTAGATCATGTAATGGTGAGAATAAGAATAAGCCATTAATGAAGACTCGTGGTTTCCTTAAAAGGAAAATTGGATCTTTTCGAGGTGATTGTCCATTCCGTATAAAATCGCTCGCATCTCCATTGTGCTAAACTAGATTTGGCTTATATGTATGCTCGCCTAATAATATCAAATTACGATCGTGTTTATTTAAGGGTGTTTTTTCTATTTTTCGAGTGTTTGTTTTGTGTTTAGAAAAAAAGTTAACAAAAAATAATTTTCAATTAATGAAAAATGATAAATTATTCTTAGAAAAATGTTTTCTCGGTTAAAAAGAGGAGAACATTTTTCTTATCACAAGTTGTTTTGCTCTCGCGTTACTTACTTCTTTCTCGACATATTTTAACAATTTTTTCTCTATCTTCTTTTTATTTAAAATATATCAAATTAATTTTTAATTTTTCTCTATTTCTACTAATATTTGATTTTTTGATTTATAGATACGTTAAATATTCTTAAAAACCATTTTCACACCTTAAAATTATTTTTATAATTTATTTTTATTTTTTTACTATTATCTAAAACACCACCTAAATTATAATTAAATGATTGAAAATGATTATTACAATACTATAATTGTTTGTAAAAAAAATTGAAATTAATTTATTTATTAATAAATATATTATTTTTTCAATACTATTCATTTGCAACTAAATCAATAATTTATAATTTTAATCGGTTGTAAAATTTTGGTGGTAATTATAATGAATAATTAGTTATAAATTATTCCAACATTAATCTTTTCAAACCAAATGAATAATTATCTACAAACGATAACTAATAATTTATAAAACTATTTTTTAGACTAAATTATCGGTTCAATTTTTTAAAAAAAAAATCTTAATTGAGTTACCAAAATAACTATGCTAAGATTACTTAGATTTTTTTTTTAACTAAATGTGAATATTGACTTGATTTTTGTCCCAAATAATTTTGAAGAATTGGTTTGATGGTTGAAAAGGTACATTTTATTTTTTCAATTAAAATTTCAAAGTAAGTAGTTATGAGAATTTATTAAATTTTTCTAAATTTATCTAATATTGTAAATTATGAATATGCCTTTCCGAAGTTTTCTCAAAACTTGTTGATGTAACAATCACATATTGTTTTTGTATTTTAATTTTTTGTATCAAACAATCGCTAGAATATATTTTTTAGCAATTTTTTCATGTAATTGCCAAGCGATAGAAAGTATTTTTTTTGAAAAACAATTTCTGGAAAATAGATTCTTCGGGAATTGATTTTCGTATGAAAGTTGTTTTTTATCAAACAAACAAAGCCTATCATTTTGCTCTTTTCTTTTTTCTTTGGTTAAGTACAAACCTTTAATTAGATGAAATTTTATTTTTAATTTAATATATTTTTATGAATCGATAATATAAATATGTTTAACTTAATTCGCGAAGCATAGGGCAATAAGCCAACTAATTACAACACTCTAAAGCAAAAGGCACGTTTATTATGCATTTATTGTTCCTTTCACTGTTCAATGAACATTGTTTTTTTGGCTTTTTTTTTTTTTACTCTAAAACACTTTACTCGTTAACTTTTTTTTCTCTCCTCTGTCGGCCTTTCTTCAACTTTTTACAAGCAAGGTTGTTATTGTTTTTTTTTTTTTAGTTTCACTATACATTTTCCCCCTTGCTTTTCCCTCCCCCCCCCATCAATTTAGGTTTTCTTATTTAATTTTTTAAAATTTTTAGGTTTATTTTATTTTGATCTCTAAAATTTTAAAATAAAAATTTTAATCCTTTAACCGATGCACTACATCCGATTTTTCTTCTTTGCTTTTTTTCATCAATTTATGTTATTTTGAAAATTCAATTTTGCTTTTTTTCATCAATTTATATTTTTTTCTATTTAATTAAGTGTTAAAATTTTGAAAAATCAATTAATTTTTTTTTACACAAATTGATTATTATATAATATATACAATATTTTTTATATTTATATGATATATTCTTTTTTACTTACATGGTCTTTTTATAATTTTCATAAATGTATGTTTTTTTATTTAATTATTTTTCTATCTATTATTAGCTTCGTGCAAATAATTTTAAAAATTAATCTTCTCATCAACATTAAATAAGAATTTTTTTCTCATTTGTTAATTTTTGTAAGAGTCTATCCATTAATTATAACTTTAGTTTTTGAAATACAATATTATGAAAATTATATTTTAAATTCTTGATTAATATTTTAGTTAAAATTATTATATATTTTTTTAAATGAATCCATAAAGAATAATGATTTATGTTTTTTTTAAAGCATAAAATTTATAAAAAAAATTAAAAAAATAAGTGAATAAAAAATTTTAAAATTTTAAAATAATTTTTTTTCTACTAGACTCGCAGCGTAACACGGGAAGGTAACTAGTTTTACTCTATATTTTTTGTGGATTTAGACTAAGTTACTTAGTTCTTATTGAATTTGGATTCGACTAGTTTGTTACAGCCAAATAGGTTAGAGTTTTGCCTACTTGGAAAGAAGAAATTTATATTGATAACACAACGGAATTTGGAAATGATTAAATTCCGCATACAAGCATTCTCATAGTTTGACACCATACCTTATTAAGTGCGGTGTTCTCGCATCATATTACTCTTACTTTGGTTTATTTTTCTATGGAGTTTGAAAGTGGATGTCTTGTGTGTAGTGGTAGCTTTGAAATGATTAATTTGTGTTACTAAACAAATCAATTACTTTGATTTTGAATTTAAGATAAAAAACAAAAAATTTCGTAGAGAGAAGTAGTTGCATAGTTTTTTTGCAAATAAAGTTAAAAAAGCTTGTCCTAAATTAATTCGCCAATCAAACAATTATGTAAGTCATAAAAAGGTCTCGAATGCAATTTAGTTTTCAATAATTTAATTCATCTTCCTTCTTTGAAGAAAAGTACTCCTCCATGTTATCTCCATTAAATAGATTGGTAAGTTTTTTATTGGAAATGAGGCAAAGGAATTAGCGATAGAATAAACACCATTCTCATTCGCTATAACAACAACAACAATAATAACTAGTTATTAAAAATAAAATAAAAATTGTTTTTTGGATTATTAGATGACCAAATCATAGGTTACTTTTTAATGTTAGTAACCAATTCCCACATCACAGATAGCTAAGAGAAAAAAGGATAGGTCGATTGATTATGAAATATGACGTGCACACAAAGAGTTGGTTAATATTTTTTTTAAAAAAAAAAGTAAGAAAGGGATAGAAGTGCCTAAAACCATGTATCACCATAAAATCCTTTCACCTTTTTTGTCTCCCTCAATCTTTGCTCTCCTTTCATCTACTTTCTTCCTCTCTCTTTCGCGGATTTTGCTTTGTGAGTATCTCTCCGCTCATTTTGCTTCACGGGATTTCTTCGTTCTTTTTGCAAAGCAAATAGGAAACTCGTAAATTTCGTATCATTTTGGGTTGCCGGTCTTACTTTCGTTGTGCATTTGCTTTATGTAAGTACTTTCTAAATTATCGTGACTCGTTTTATTAACTAGCTCTTTTCCACGCTTACCTTCATATCCGGGGCTCTTTATTCCTCACGAACAATAGGAATGCACACTTAGTTATGCTTGAATTAATATAATTTTCAAGATGAACATGTAAATTATGTCTCAAAAATACTTTTAGCGTACTATTGGAATTCCCATAAGACAAATTTCGTATCAAATGGTTCGTAGGTCCAAACGAGCTTGTAGCTCTTTGGAATTTAAATCTCTTTTCGTTTTTATGGTTTTGTCCGAATGCGATCAACAATCGTGTAAGAGGCAACACAAGTTCTACATATTGTTAACTAAGAATTTAAAAGTGATAAACATGTTGATGAAACCGCATAAATTTTCTTAATCGTATGTCTTTCCTTGTTTTGCATCATAAAATTTTGAAACACGTTTTTTATTACCTCCTTCTAACATTAAGGCATAATTTACATCTCACTATGTATATATATATCCATTGGATGGATGTACTTATCCTCTTTGGTATTTTACGAGTATGATCTCCTGTGATGCGACCATCGGAACCTAAAGCAAGATAAATGTTTCCAATTAATGTATCCGAACATGGGAGTGAAAACTAGTAATGGCTTGCGAATGTATCCTACAACCACTCTTGGTGAACATGATCATTTTACCAATAGCAAAATGTTAAACTCCTCATCCTCCTCATGTTCTTCTTCATCCGGAGACCTTTTAGAGTTGGATGCAAATGAAATCAGCAAGTCCTACATAGGTGATATTAGGGTTCCTAAACATAGCAAAAACACTCAATTTGCTTTGGAGGACCGTGACGATGACATTATAATAAACTCTATGCCCCGGCAAGAACAACAATCGAGTCCTACTCAAACATCGAGCTTAAACAACGATTCCACGACACGGTTTCCTCCAACACAAGTGATGGAGCGACCCGTCGACTCAAATCCCTTTGACTATTATAGGATTATGTCTACGGTATTTTCTAGAACTAAATCTACTACTCCAATGGAATAGAGTGTTGTTTCCAATGAGTCGTTGTTCAGCATTTATACGAGGAATAAAAGCTTCACATGAGACCATTAAAATTGGTTGGGTAGATCCGGAGAGCTAGTTTTTTCCGAGTGATTATACAAGTGACTCTACCTTGTCTAAATCGTTGATTGATTTCTCAAGTAACCAACCTTAAAGTAATCAACGTCCAATTAATGAACTAACATATGTCGGACCAAGTAATACAAATGTCAACGAGCATCTTGGTGTAACTAAAACAATGAGGGGTGGTAAAAAAGGATGAACAAGATGGTAACAAATAGAGGTGTCTTGCCAAAGGATCGCTTCATTCGGCTATCCTTTCTCGTCGTTCGGATGCAAGTGGAAAAAGTATCAAATCTTTTATATTTCCAATGTAAGCTCTATTATTATGAATTCTAGAATAAAACAATCACTAAAAAATCTACACATTATGCATGAATGGTTTACGCATCTTAAGAAACGAGGTGGATTTCGTTTTGAAATTTCGAGTCTTGCACTTGAGTCTATTTAACTCTACTCGATCTTTCAGAATAGTAGATTGTAGCCAAAAATTAGTATACATGAATATGCGGGAAATTAATTAGAAGGTATGCATTACGAAATAATTTTACATTAGCATGATGAATATTGGTAGCATATTTATGAAATGACTAAATTATTTTGTATATGTGAAAATTGATAAGGGATGATAAAAGTTACTCTCTGTCTCATAAGCGGTATCCATCATCACGACCCTAGTCACAACCACGGACTCCTAAATCAGCCCAATTGCCCAAGGTACAACTAGAATCAAAGCCGTTGTTAGAGTCGGAGATAGTGCCAAAATCGAATCTAAATGTGGTTCGGGTAAATGGTTGTCCTATATTCGATGTTGCTCGTTATGTTCTTAATGGATTAAGGTTGATCCGGTCTTTGTTGCCTTAGGTGTGAGAAATGTTCGTATAGAATGGTAGATTCGATTTAACTCTTGACATCAACCAACACACGAGTTATGTTGGAAAGTATTTTTCTTGTTTTTAGCTTTATAGTTTTAGTTTTTTTTTAATTAGAGATGTCACATTCTTAATCCCGTGTCGGGATACGGATAAGAAGACCTTAAATTTTTTTGCTCTTTTTGATCCCACGTTTACTTATAGGGTCCGTTCAACATTGTTTCTTATTGTCATATTAATCATTAAATACGAGCATGAAGGTTTGAAGATTAGTTCAAAATAAGAGCAACAAGACATCAAATCTCACGTTAATTAATTAAGAGACACTTTGAATGCATACAATTACGATACCATCAAACCGGCTTTTATATATATAAATAATGTTTTTGCATAAGAAATAATAGAAAGTCTTATCCCCTTGACAAGTTTGTTCCGTCTTGTCCTCTTGACAAGTATTTGCCCGATTAACCGAGCGTCGTTGTTGCTAAACCATGGTTGGTAGGATGGAAGGAACCACCTCAACTTCTATCGAAGAGATGTACGCCAACATCTCCATAGCGAGAAGAAGAAAATAGAGGCTTGGAGTACACTAAGGAGGGAGCATAGAATCCTTAGGTGAATGTAAGGTTGTATATGGTAGGGAGGTTCTTTACGGACAAGGTAATGAATACCCGGATGATGAAAAATACGCTTGCGGCCTTATGGAGACCGATGAAGGGAGTCTACATACCATAGGGTGTTTCCTATTCTATTTCTTCCATGAACTAAATCTCAAACGGGTGTAGGAAGGTGGACTATGGACCTTTGATAGACATCTCCTACTGTGGAAAAGGTTACGGATGGGTGCAAACCAAGCCGGATTCGGCTATTTAAAGCACATTCTAGATCCAAATGTATGACATTCCAATTGGATTTGTGTCAAAGAGGGTATCCCGAGATATTGGGAACTATATTGGAACCTATATGAAATCGGATATGGATAATTTTTATGGTGTTAGAGGGCTTTTTTGCGAGTGAGGGTGTTGGTGGATGTACGTAAACCACTAAAGAGACGGATGAAAATTAAAAGACTAGGGGGAAAATGGGTATGGTAAACTTCAAATATGAGCGATTGCCAACTTTCTACTTCATATGTGGGAGAATTAGGCATGAGGACAAATTTTACGAAATATTGTTCTCGGATCCACAATCGGACATTGGAAAACCATATGGCTTATGGTTGAGGGCCCATGACGGGAGACAAAAGATGAATGTGGGGGAAGAATGGCTCGGGCAAGGGCCATCGGAGATGACTAAGGATGTGGTGGCCGATGAACAAATGGTGGTGGATGACAATAAACCAATCAAGATGGTAAATTTTTCAAAATTGTATACGAGTCGAGGTTAAATGGGAGGGATTATAGGAGAAGATGTAGGAAATGGAAATGGTAAGGAGGAATGGGATAAGGAAAGCACGATTGGGGGAGAGGATTGAGTGGAAGGAGACTAAGCTATTGATAAGGAATACGTTATTATACTAGAGGTAAAAAAGAGGTGAAGCGAGAAGGAAAAGGAGGAGGATGTAGTCCAAGAGAGCCCAAAAGTCCATTTTTATCGGACCGACTCGAGATAAAAAACAAGCTACAAACCGGACACGAAGACCGAGTCCATCGAGCAATGATGAACACCTTATTTTGGAACTATCATAGGCTGGGCAACCCACGGTCGGTTCAAGTCTTAGTGGACCTAGTCCACAAAAGAAGCATGTATTGGTGTTTTTTAGTGAAACACTTTGTACCGGATCGAAGATTAACCTATTTCGGAGGAAGTTGGGGTTTGAGGGGGCGTTGCTTGTGGAATGTATTGGAAGGGGAGATGGACTGGCTCTACTTGTGGAAAGAAAAAGATGGAGTTAGTTTGTTGGGGTTCAACCGGAACCATATTGATACGGTGGTCCAAATAGAAGGAATGGGGACTTGGAGGTTAAGCGGCTATTATAGGATGCCACGGAGACATCGACAAAGGGAGTAAGAGAACTTGCTTCACACATTGGCTCACAGATTGGAGCTGTCTTAGTGTTGTAATAAGGACTTCAATGACATCTTGTTAGCCCAAAAGAAAAGAGGGAGACACCCTCACCCAAAATGGTGTATAGTGGGTTTTAGAGAGGCCATTAGCGACTCGTGGTTTTATGAATCTCGGAATGGTCGGTTATGGCTACACATGTGAGAGAGGAAGGGGGACAAGGGACTCGGGTGGAGGAAAGGTAAGATAAGGCATTAGCAACGAATGAATGGGTGAATTTATTCCACGACTACACGATCCAAAATATGATAATGTCCTCATTAGACCATTCTTCTATTTTTCCTAATATTAACATTAGTACTTGAATTAAAGGGAAATTTTTAGAAGCACGGGGCTAAAATCTACTACCTACAAAAAAAAGATTCAAACTCAAAATTCTTCCATGCTAAGACAATAGGAGACGAAAAAACAAAATAAAACGACTTAATAATGATGTGAGAGAGTGGAAAAACTAGGATAATGGGCTTCAAGATATAGTAAAGAACTATTTTACTTCTCTCTTTAATTCTACGAGGCACTCGGGGGAGGATATAACACGGTGGGTTGAACAAAAGGTAATAGAGGCTCAAAATCTTAAATTGAGTTGTGACTTTACGAAGCATAAAGTAAAAAAGCAGTATTCGAGCATACATCCGGATAAGTCCCTAAAGGTTGATGGAATGAACCACAGGTTCTTTCAACACTACCGACACATTGTGGGAGATGATGTGGCTACGGTGTGTTTACAAATGATTGGGGAATATAGCTTCCTAGAAGGTTTGAATGAGAATTCTATAGTCCTTATTCGAAGAAGAAAGTTCTAGAGTGCATGGTAAACTTGTGGCCTATCTCTCTATGCGAGTGTGTTATACAAGATAATGTCTAGATGTCTGGCTAATAGGATGAAAAGGGTGCCGACATGGCTAATATAAAAAACATAAAGTGCTTTTAGTCTAAGAAGGCTAATAACATATAATTTGATAATTGGTTTTGAAGTTGATCATTATATGAAGAGAAAGAGACAAGGGAAGGAAGGGCTTGTAGCCACTAAAGATGGATATGAGTAAGGCTTACAATCATGTAGAGTGGTCATTCCTAGAGGCTATTATGTTCAAGATGGGTTTCACCCGATAATCGATGGACTTGGTCATACTAACGGTGAAGTTAGTGAAGTATACGATGATCCATGGATCGGAGACTATAGGACCCATTGTGTCAAGCCATGTATCGAGATAAGGGGACCCGTTATCCCTATACCTAGTCATCCCGTGTGCCAAAGGCTTGTCCTCATTAATCAAACAAAAGGAGAGACAATGGTTACTACATTGCTGTAAAGTGACTAGAGGAGCTCCTACTATCTCTCATCTCTTTTTTATAGTCGACAACTATTTTTTCTTCAAAACAACGAAGGAGAAGCAAGAGATGTGATAAAGATCCTTAGAGAGTATGAAATGGCATCGAGGTAGCAGATTAACCTTAAGAAATCATCGGTGAGATTTAGCCCAAATACCTTTGTCGAGAAGAGGAGATGAGTGTGTAGGATACTAAGGGTTATGGAGCAAATGGAGGGAAATAATATACGGGACTACCAACATTGATTGGTAGAAACAAGAAAGAGATTTTTAGCTATATTAAAGAGAAAGTCGGTAGACAGATTCAAGGCTAGAATAGGAAACTCCTATCACTTTGGGGAAGGAAAACTACCGAAGAAAGTAGCTCAAGCAGTACCAAACTATGTGATAAGTGTGTTTCTACTCCTACTAGATTTATGTACGAACCTAGAGAAAATGATGAACTCATTTTGATGGGGTTCGAAAGGGCGACTAAATAGGCGTATACACTAGAAGAGTTAGGATAAATTATGCACTAGGAAAAAGGATGACGGTCCGGATTTTAGAAGAGTGCATGAGTTCAATGCGACCATGCTAGGCAAACAAGGGTGGAAGTCGATGAGTGAACTCGATTCACTCGGTGGCCGGGATATATAAGGCTAGGTACTTCCCTCGTAACTCCTTCCTAGAGGCAAAGGTGAGGAATAACTCGAGCTTCATCTGGAGGAGTGTATAGGCTCCCAAGAGTCGTTGAAAAGATGAGGCAAATGAAGGGTGGGGGATGGGAGTAAGATTAGGATTTGGAAGGACTAATGGTTGATGGATGAAGCCCCTTACACATCATCACAGCCTAATAGAGAGGTTGGAAGACATGTCGGTGAGGGAATTGATGAACTCTAAGAGCGAGTGCTTGGGACAAAAAGAAGCTAGAGTTGTACATAAATGAGTGGGATAGGCGACAAGTCTTTTCCATCCCTCTATGCCTAAGGGTAAGGAAGGATCAATGGTATTGGCCAAGTGGATAGAGAGGTATATACATGATAAATAGTACTTACCAGCCTACAAGCTAACTTAAGGGGTCAAGAGCAACCTGCGGAAGGGAACCCGATATGAAAAAAGATATGGTCACTAAAAATCCCTTTCAAAGCTAAAAATATGATCCAACGAGCAGCGACGAAGGTGTTTACCGACAATGGTGAAGGCTGCGGGAAAAAGAGTGGAGGTGGATCCATATTGTCCAATTTGTGGGAATGAGTTTGAAACAACCCATGGTTTGATTGATTTTCAAGAGGCTAGGAACATCCGATTACGGGTTTGTATCGATGTTAATGGTAGCCGATCCTTCCCTTTTATAGATTGGCTTACTATGATCTTTGGGAGTCGTAATACACAACAATGTGAACAAGTTGTTATGTTGTGTTGGGCAATTTAAGAGAATCGAAATGAAATGGTCCGGAAGGGGAAGAAAAGGCCAGCAGTGACTATTCTTTAGTTGAGTATGGAAGCCCTTGAAGATTGAAGGAGTGCCTAAGAAAAGAAGGCCTCACAACGGAGGAAGCTGGTCGGATAGACTATGCACAACTCTAAATAGGTCAAACTAGAGGCTAGTTAGGTCAAGGTTAATACTGATGCAGCTTTGTTTGAAGAAAGAAATCGTTACGGTGTTAGTTGTGTGGTTAGAACTGCCGAGGGGAAAATGGTGACGAGTAAGGTTGCGTAAGTTTAGGAGAGTAGTATGGCAAAAAATTGCAAAAACTTTTAGGGTAAGGGAGGCCCTACACTGGATGAAGGATAAATTGATTCCAAATATGATCTTTGAAGTAGATGCACAAGTGGTAATTAATGCCATTAAAGGACATGGTGATGATAGATCAAACTTTGGTTTATTAATTGATGATTGTGGCTCTCTTAAGGAGTGCTTTCCTAGAGCGATTTTTCACTTTATCAAAAGATCGGTGAATTAAATGGCTTATAAATTAGCAAAGTCATTTGTTTCTTTACCCGATCTAGCGGAATGAGGTTGTGTCCCTCCGCAGTTCTTGATGCATTGTTTGGCTACTGATTGTTCTTAATAATAAAACTATTCAGTTTTAAAAAAAAGACACTTTGAATGCAAAATCAATCACATGGAAAATAATTCTACAACAAAAGCTATTATTAACATATCTCAAGTATGTACACAATACATAAATATGTAATCATTATTATTGTGGTTGATGTTGACTTTTCGTGTGACTTGTAGTTGTTCGGACTTATGTGATCAAACGGTGATTTTTTTCCCAAGGAAATTGAGTTCAATTGAAATATAAAAGCTTGATAATGCCGGAATAACGCGACCTTACATAAACTCAATCAACAATCACAAGATAGGACCCTTCTTAGCTATTCTATCTCAATAAACATGGTTATGGTGGTACAAACTCATGAGCAATCAAATCTTTACTCGATCCTAGACACAAGACATATTTAGCAAATAAGGCACCCAAAGTTTCTTGTTTAAGGTGCAAGTGTTTTAGGGATAAACTAGTTCAAACGAGCTAAACATTTATCATAATCTACTTGATGAATGCATAATTAGCATGATTTTTATGCTCTATTACATTAAACTTTTTAATGTTTATTGTATTATATTAGGTTAATTAAGAGCACGATGACAATTTTGGGTTTGTAGGAAAAACAATGAATTGAAACAAGAAAATGTAAAACCAAAGCAAGGAAGAAAGAATTCACTAAAGAGCCTTAGAAGAGTCACATGATCGTGTCAAATTACAAAAGAAACAGCTTATTGGTCACGTGACATTAAGAAAGAAGTCATGTGGATTGCTCAACAAAGAAGTCTAGCCGGGTAGTAGCATTCCACACGACCAGAGGAAGAAATCCCACACGACCGTGTATGTGTCACGACTGGCACAATCCAAGAAAAAGAAGACTAAATGGTAATAGACATTGCACACGGGTTGTAGTGAAAAGTCACGCCTCCGTATTTCATAAGCAAAAGAAATCTACACGAGCATAAAAGAGTTAACACGGCTTAAAGAACAAAGGCACACGTGTAATATTAAGCAACAAAGCATGTAACTTTGCTTAGTAACCCATGTGGTTATATGAGGTCGATACTTATGTGATGTAACCCTAGTTTTAGCTATAAATAATGATGTTAGGGTATTATTTAGGGATTCCAACTCCCAACTGACTACCATAGATAGAAAACTCTCTCTCTATAGCTCATTATGAACAACTAAACACTATTGTTGGTTAAATCAAGTTGAAACTTTTGGTTAAATTATTATGAGATTATGAGTTTTATTTATAAACTTATCTTATTTGAGTATTTTATGTTTCTCTATGTGATTGGTTTATGGTTATGTGATTAGATTGATTGGAATGCTTGCTAATTGTTTGATCATATTAACTTATTGCTAGCTAAGTATTCAAGTCTATGTAATTTCTTATCTAAACTTACTTATGGTAGTAACTAGGAGTTGATGATAATTTTTCACGTTTTAGTTCAATCTTTTGAA